GAAGTAGAAATGTAAAAACCTCTAAGAGGCAGCCTGAGCGATCGGGCTGGGTACTAAGCTGGGTGGCGTTTCTTCTTCGTGGATGTGGAATAGGACAATATAAATTCACTTTCTGCTCCCTCCCTTTGCCTGCCTTGTCTTGGTGTGTAAGTCACTTGGAACAGCGCTGGTGTCTATAAGGCCAAGTATAGCGGGACTCTGCAATCTCGTTTAGGAACTTGAGGTACCTTGCATACAGATAAGTATGATTAGGATATGTTTCCAACATCACACACTGTACATGTTGGGAAGAAGAGCTGATATCTTCGCAAGTGTGCGGCTTTTATACAGAACACTACGGTCCAGAGACTAGGGTACCATAAACAGGGATACTCTGTCTGGTCCTTGAGACACTGCTGAATTTGCCGGGTCCGAGGAACCAGCAGACGCAGTGAAACTATGCTGTCTCCATATCCTGAGCTGCTGTTGCTCATACACGTCTCCAGCTCAACACTGAAACTTGAGGAAATACACATCAAACACCAGCGCACACACCCAGGAGAAATCCCGCTTTTATATGGCTTGAAAGTAGGCGCATGGCAAACCAGGACTGATGAACCTGAGGGCCAGATGGCAAGGCAGGTTGATCAGAAGCGATAAAATACATCTAAATGTTCTTTTTATACTGGAAAATGAGTGGTATCTATTTGGAGGCAACTCTCAGAACGTATGAGCAAAAAGGTAACAGGTAGCCGTTAGCTTTCACTGTCTGGAGTTCTTCCACCCACAGGTCACTAGTAATGGCTTCTGGTGAGGAGCTAGGCAGTAAATGAACGTTATGCATGTCCTTGCTCATGTGCCTACACGCATGCATAATAATCTCATATTGCATCTGAAGTCTTGGAATCTTCTCCTTACTTCCTTTTGTTGCTGTGTCAGTCATTGGCCACTAATTGTTTCCTTAAAGCCAGTGAGCAATATTTAAGACGTGCTGCTTCGACACTTGAGTTTCATATCTGTACCCTGCCTATCAAAGTGAAAAATGAGAGATTCAGAAATTGTTTTTCCTCCAATCGTCAGCGTTTTCAGGGCTAGCTAGTGCTGGTGTGAAGGCGTATTGCTGTGTTTATGCAGTTGGAGACCCACCTGTGCGGCTGATTTTTAACCACTGTAGGCAAGGCAGCTGGAATGAGATTTAAGATGAGGCACGTGATTTTTTCCAATGCTTGAATGAAAGTCTGAAGAATTTAACGGGTGTGTGACTGCGCTGCTGATCCGGGAGGCTGGTTTGCTGAAGGTTTTTTCCCCCTCATTTTTGTTTTCCTCCTTCTATAAATCTCCAGCTGCAGCTTTGCGTTGCTTGTGTTTACAATGTTGATGTTACCTCCGTCCGAGGGAGATTCCCTCTTGTTTAAAAGGAAAAAATCCTATTAAAATACACTCAACTTCAAGACAGAGTTTACCATGGCAAATCAAATATTAAATCCTGATCCCCCAGGGCTTAACTGTACCAGTGGTGACTTGAAGCCGAGAGCGTGTATGCTAAAGCGAAAGGGCAGGGCAGGGCAGGGCAGGCTGTGGCGCTTCCAAAGCTCGGCAACACGTCGCGGCAGCAGTTAGCAGGAAGGCCATTTTCTGGGCTGCAGTATTTTGGACTGCTGAAGGGCTGGCTGTGTCAGGAACAGATTATGCTAGGAACACACAGCTCTGCTGCTTCCTTTCACACAGTGCTGAAAGGCAGTTGGTTACCTGCCTTAGCAGGGTAAGCAGGTTTGCACTGCTGTTATGGAAACAGTGAGCAGAACGGTCTCAGCTGCCTTTGCCGTAACAACAGTGACGCTGGAAATGTTTTTCTCTCATGTGAATTTTAGTTTTCTGCCACTCAGAGCAATATTTTCTACATCAATGATCACCAAGGAACTTTGTCTGAAGAAGGCCATTTTTCCTGTTAAATGGAGAGCTTTGAGCCTTCTGCAGGCAGCGTTGTGATCGCTCCCTGATGCTTGGCGTGGGGAGGGAAAGGGGCAGACAGTTGCTGGCTACGTGCAGGCACACCGCATGACTTTCTCTGGACGTGATGCACCTCCAGCATTTTTCTGCTGAAAAAGCAGATCAGTGTAAAATATAATGACAGAATAACAGCTCGGCAGTTGTAGAACCTGTGGAATGATGTCCCACTCAGCACATCGTCTCTGGAGATGTGATGTGGTGAACAGATGACTATGGAAGGACAGTAAAAGACAAAACTCTTCAAAGGCAGGTGTGTAGCCGCTGACTGTTTCTCTTTGTGAGCTGTTCAATGGGTTTAGTAGCACTGAAGATCAAAAACCAAACTGTTCATTTATGGCATGGCCCATTCTAACCAAAACTCTAGAGAGTCTGAAAATATTACAACCTACTTATAAACTCCCATTAGCAGGTGTTTTTTTTTTTTGTTTTTAATAAATAAAGTCCCATAGAAACAGAAAGTATTTACAATTAGATCAAAATTCTGAATATAATTCACAAGAGAAAATGCTGTTTTTTGGGAAAATGTTTTCATATCCTCCTAACAGTCATTTGTTCTAAATTAGTACTTAGCAATTGTCCATTAAATGGACATTTTTCCCTTAAGACCTATTCTTGTAGAGAAGTATTTTAGGCAAAACTTCCTAACCATGATGTCACCATTTAGAATCAGAACATTTCTGTGATTAGTAATTCACATAAAAATCAACATTTTCCATGGCTTGAGGAAAACAAGATGAATAACTATCAAAATGTAAGAGAAGACAGGATGCAGGGAAAATAATACATTTTATTAGAGCAGCTTATACAGTTGAAGGAGAAGTATAGGCTTTTGGGGATTCAGTCCCTTCATCCTAATAAAGGGTAACACTTGTTCCTGCAAAACTGTCTGCTCTGTTCTCCTTAGAGCATTACGACCACCGTTACGCTACCGCTCTCCAGACAGATGGGTTGTAGTCGTCCGTATGGGACTGAATGGCTTAAACACCATCACTGCTAAACTGCTACTTTCAAAAACATTACCACTTGCACTAAAGTAGAATTAAGGTCTTTGAGTTCATGTGCTCCTTGGTTACACAGAGGTTTCTCCTGTAGCAAAGTCATAAACTGAATTTCACTGCCAGTGCATCTCTTCCACTATCCTTCTCAAATAATTCTCAGTATGTCTTGCAGAAGAACATGCCCTAGAATTCTTCTGTATTTGAAACTAATTTTGAACTCTCATTTCTAGTGAAGCCAATGTAAAATCGGTTTGTATACGAACTGCAGGCTCAGACGAATAGCTTTTGCTGTGTGTTACTATTGCAGGGATTCGGTGTTGGAGCTGCGGTGCGTCCTTGTGCCAGCTAATCCTGGAGATGTCCTCCTGCAGGAGGGGGTGAACGCCGCGACTTAACAGAGGTTCTCCCACTAAGTGAGAGATGGCAACGTTTCAGATGGCGAGCGTCCAGTGGAGAACAGCTTCAGAGAAGCAGAGAGAGAATATTTTCTCGTGAATTGTGACACCCACAGATTCGTGTGCATGTAATTCCTGTCAGAGTCTGATGCTCAGCTAGCGCAACGCGCCTACCTTGAAAAGTGCAGGAAACCTGCAATCTTGGGCATTGCTGTGCAACATTCCGTGTGCTTCAGGGCAATCATTTCTAAGTTCCCTGAAATGATCTCATTGCGAACTTAGTGCAGATCAAAGCTGTTCGCTTTAGCCTCACACTGACTTCATCTCGGTGCGATTTCACCTGTGGGTGAAACCTGGAGGGTGAATGATCCAATTCTACTGACTTCGTGGTGGGTATAATGCTTACTACTGACCATAGGCCCAGGGGTTATCTGAAAGAAGTAGTAGGAAACATTTTCAGGTGTAGAAGGCATAAGCTTAGGGATTTATTTTAATATTGGCCTCTGTCAGTCTCTTTATCACGTAATCTGCACCAACATAGATTTTCAAGGTCTGTATTGGGAGTAAGGCCAACTTATACTCCCTGAAAATCCAGTCTTCTCACACATACACTGACGTGACCTCTTGGTCCACTTATATATCACCACTGAACTTGTCTCTGTAAGTTTAAGGCACAGTTTTTGGTACATAAATAAAATGTGGACATGGTGAGGAAACTAGGATATCAGTTGAGGAGCGCTCCTTGCTTGAATGTATATGTGTTACAATTGGTGGCTTTTTTTCCAAAGCTGTCCCCTTCGGGTCACCGGTGCGGATCACACCCGCTTGACTTTGTCAGGGGTCGCATTCACAAGCAGCAAATGTGGGCACACCAAACGTGAATCTCAGCGAACCTCACATCAGTAGTGAGAATACCAAAAGGAGATGGTGGAAGCTTTTGTGTAGGAGGAGTCACGCTACGCCTGTTCTCCATGATATTTTTGACTATGTTGTTCAATGATAGTTCATCAAATAATTTGGGAAGCTCTCAGGCCAAGTGGTTTGTGCAAACCTACTCCAGTGACAGACTCAGCGGCGTGACCGCGAGGTGTGTTAGCCCTAGCCGCCGTGGCACGCGCCTTGGAGCCGCGGGCTGGCGTGCGCAGAGCTGTCGACAAGAGCTCTGCTTCCTAAGGGTACGAGCAGTGCCTGTCCCTTCCTCAATTCATTCTTGTGATGGCATCTGCTTTCTGGGTTTGCCCACAAATGATGGGCCTAAGTCTTACCTACACTAAGATCTCTATACAGAGCTCTATGAGTGTAAAAATATATTATGGTAGGCGCAAATACTGTCACACCTGATGTTTCTAACTTTTGTCTTTTAAGCTCTCATAGGAAGTTACACTAATCTGTGATTCAATTTTATTGTAGTTTTGCTGCTGCCTTGGGAGCACAAAATCAAGCGTAATACTTAAAATGTTTCCCTAGAAATGTTTAAGGAGAAAGACTTTTATTTTCAAGTTGAAAATTTAACTGCATGCTTAACCAACTTCAGTGAAGCATCAATCACACTGGACAAGCATTCTTAAGAAATAAGATAGTTTAAAAAATTAATTGTGAAAATACTGCCAACAATTTCATGATATAGATATTTTTAATATTAAAAGTAAATTGTAAAGGTGTCTTTATAAACAATATGCATAAAATAGATCTGCTATACTAAGCTCTCTCTTTTTAAATGCTGTTTCACAGTAATTTCTTAGGTATGCAAAGTTTTCCCTCAAAGAAATAGTGCAATCTGAAGAACATACATTATGTCAGCTGATTAGAACTACTATGGTCGTTAATATAAGTCTTTATAGATCTCTTGTAGGAGTGGATGAAGACTCATGTCTGTCTCCGTTTTCTTTATTATTTGCAACAGCTGCACATGTTCCGTTACAATCTGTCTGAGGTCCGTCATTTTCTGAAGCAACTTTGCAAACAGCTGTGATGATTCTGGATGGTTCAGCTTCAGCTGGAGCTCCAAAGCTTGCAGCAGATTGTCTTGTATATCTTCAATGGGCTTCACGTTTAACAAACCTGGGCGGTCTAGGAAATAAGATTGGGAATTGTAAGTTTATGAAGAATGAGGAAACATCGATCTCACTCATTCATTTCTTAAGGATTTCTTAGGATATGCAGCGCTTACACATGGTGCTTCCTGAGGACTGTTTGAGAATTTCTTGCTGTATTTATTTGTAAGATTTTACTAGAATTTGCTCAAAATTTTTAGAACTAGTCTTAGAAACAGTTCAAGCATTTGTGTGGTGTGGATACAGAGACAGGTTCATGCAATATTACAACGCATTTTCCACAGTAAACTGGGAGTCTTTATGGCAAGGAAGAGTGGGATCTGGCTGGGGGATAAACATCTGTATCAGGTAATTCACTCTGGAACATCGGCATATACTCGGATGGATTTGCATGTAGTTGCCACCATTAAAAATGTTTCCTGATAAGGTGGATGCTAACCTATCAAAATAAAAAAAAAGGCATAAATTCAACTTCTGCAGTCATACTAACCTGGGAGATTTAAAAATCACAGATTCGGTTCTTCTCCGCACTCAAGTTCCAGCCGCTATTAAGCAGTGTCCCAGCAGCCTTTAGCACCAGCTGATCAGCTTAGCCACAGGCGCTCATGGCAGAGCAGGACTGAGAGATGTGGCTTGCACAGAAAATGCCTTTTCTGGGCTGATGCCAGCAGAGAGTTCTCCTCCATATGGAGGAATTTGGGATCGAGTTTTACAACCAAAGCCAGCCACATTCACTGCCACTGCTGCGAGGGTCCAGGATTATCTTTGGCACGTCTTATTCTTCGGCAAGAAGCAAAAATCTTTCCTTTTTAACCTTTATCATCTTTCATAATAATAGTTGTTCTGTTATTTCTGTCTGTCTCCAAACACCTTCTTATGTGGTTGCAATTATTTTTTCACACACTTTGTAACATTTGCTTTCTAACTGGAGGTAATCAACTGTTTGATTTTACAGCCATGAAAGTTAATAGAGTTGTTTAACATTATTAAATCCACACATATAACAATGACCACCAGTAATTTGCTACTGCTAAACTACTTTATATTGGGTAACGCATCCTGTTTATCAGAACACTCCATGAAAAAGCAGTCTATAATTTAAATAACATTTGCTGTGTAGCTACGAAATTAATTGCATAGGGTGATCAATAGACTCAGTGCCTGTAGCTAGCCTTAAATTAATTCCCTAAGGCGATATTTCCATTTCAGAAAGGACAGGAGGTCGAGCCTTATTAAAAATTTAAAAAATAGGCTGTTATTTCCTGTGATCTTAATAACTTTTCTGTGCATTCAGTTCTGTTAACTCAGCTTGGCTTGTGTTGTATACTAGAAAAAAGGCTGAGAGAAAACCAAGCTCTTTACAAATACATTGGGGTTTGACTCTGTGGGGAAAACATTGCAGTGTAAACTAAAAGGCAAAGCTGGCGTGAAAACAAATGAGTATGCACAAGCCCTGGCTACCTGTAGGTCACTGACTGGGAAAGGACTGTTAACTCCCAAAGAGGTGAGGTTTGGGGATCGTTTTTCAGAAACAGGAGTAACGGCAAGATTGAATATGGAGCTTGGTATTTGTTTGGCGGTGGCTTTATGAAGCGACTGCTTTCAGCTGTGGGTGGCTGGACGCAGTGACCCGTTTGGCCACTCTCTCCATTCGGTATTTCATGCTGAGAAGCTGGGCTTGTCTTGCAGAGATCACGTATTTATACCATGCATCTGGCAATACCATAAAGCATGGTTCAGAAAGTCTGTAACTAAGTATCCGCAAGCAGAAAATTGTCCCCAAACAAACGGCTCCTTGTTATCAATTCTCTTTGGCAATATTATCAAGTAACTTTTTAAAGATACTTAGAGAATTTTTGATAAATTTTAGATATTTATTTTTAGATTACCTAAATGCATTGCATGAGCTGCAAAATCTAGTTGCCTTCTTTGTCTCTTTCAGAAACTTCCCAAATTTCAGTATTTCAAAGCTGTTAACAGTGTTGGCTTTGGGTTGCGATGGCTTTAAATTTTACTTCTGTGTTGGAGATGAACTCTGAACTAGCTGGGTATGACTCAGTGTACAGCGATATAAAAAAATCAAAAAGCACAAAGACTGTGGCCTTGATTTCCTCTGAGATTAATCTCCACTTGGCCCCTGCTTCTTTTTATGGTGGGAATTTTTAGGGTGTGAGTTTTTCAGAAGTGAAACCCAGTTCAAACATTGCGCTCCCCAGCACAACTTTAGAGTTCAGGAGGCAAACCCGGGAGCTCAGTGCTGAGTCTGGAACTTGCCAAGAAGCCCCAGAATTCGGGTGCCCGAGCTCAATTGATGTTCAGTGAGACTTAAGCGCCTAAAATCCTTAAGCTTCTTTGAAAAACCCAGTCTAATGGTTTTATAATGACCCAAAGGAATTAGAGTCAGAAAAGATGACTATGACAATAGCCTAGGAGATCATCAGATGTTATTTTCAAATAAACCGATTCAAGAGGAAAGAAAATTCCCACTGAAGGCAAGAGAGATTTTTCATGAATGAGAACTTCAGGATTTGGACATTATTTTTTGGGTGTTGACAGTTTGCTATACTTTCTCAGTAAAAATTTCTTACAGAGGAAAATGCTGTTTCTATTCCAAGAAACCTACCTAAATCAGAAAAAAGGGAAATAAGAGACAAAAGCTTTAACGTACAGGTATTATGGTATATTTCAAGTTGTTAAGAAACTCTTAAATATACACGCTCCAGACTCCTTGAGTTACTGTACCAAAAGGTGTATTTTGTGCAGTAAGGAGCTCCAGATAGATGTGGCTTGTAGAAAAAAATACAAAGGAAATGATTAACAGTAAGACTTGAGAAAATATAGATAAAGAAGAGGAAGAAGCAGCAAAGGGAATAAAGCAGATGTGACACTGTGGTGGAGAGCTTGGCAGCGGCTAAGCAGAGAGAACTGCAAAGGGAAGTGAAAGAGCAAAACCAAAGAGTTGTAGCAGGATGTTCTTACCATACAGTGAAATCAGGTTAGAGAGGGGCAAAGGAAAGAAAGCCGATTCAGGGGGGAGATAGCTAGAAGTGAATTGGACACCACTTCTAAACCTCTCCGACACAGAACGCTGTGGGCTGCAGTTTAGCTTTTTGTATGCGCTGCTTGTGACCTGCCTTCTATCCGTTCAGACTGTGCCAGCAGAGTACCACATTTATCTTCTTGTTATCACTTTTCTTTATTCAGTTTTTCTTGAGGTTTTCATTCCTTGTCACACGGCTGTTTCACTTGGTTTGAAAATTCTGCAGGAAGCTGTTCTAAGGAAGAAACTGTTCACAGCGACTGGGAATGGCCAACAGCCCCACAGTTTTGAGTGTGAACAGTATGACTTTGTGTACATTGATGTTCTGTTGTATCTCAGGGAAAAATAATTTGTTTGTTTATTTACTTACAGATTTGGATGCTTCTTTCATGTTCCTAACAAGAATTACAATATTTTTCTGTCCCTCGCATATGAAATTGCCATCTGCGTGCCTTTGATCATACCTTTATATTTTAATATATTTGATGAAGTGCATTTTGCATTTAAATACACATTCTAAAATCTTAATATGCTAAAATGTGCAAAGATATGGCTGGGGGAACAACTCTGCTGCTTCTTTTGCTGAGGCCGATATGACTCAGCAGTTTGAGGATTTTCTTCTGAGACTGTCACATGTATCGCAGTCACCAGGATTTTGGTCCAAAGCCCACAGTGCTTCGCTGCAGTTCCTGCTCTGATTACGAAGCATTTCTTTGTTCTAACAGGTTTGCTAGCGCAGGATTTGTGTAGCAGTCAAAGAGGAACTAGTTACTGGTACTACTCAGTGATAAAACTTCAAATTTTGCTGATCTTGGATTGTGGCAAAATTGTTGTGTTTAAACAAGCCATAGTGATTCACGGCTCAAAATTTACTGTAACGAGCACGCTCAGAAAACAGAAAAAGTGAATGTAGCAACGTGTCCGAATTCAAATACTAGTTCACCTGCGTGTTGACTAACAGAGTCCGGGTCGTTACAGGTGTACCTTACTACAATTCCCAAACACCACTATATCGAGACACTACAGAAGAGAATATACAAAAGCTCAAGTCCAACCATGATATGTAAACATGCTACAAAATTACCTTTTGAGGGTTTCTTTTATTTGATAACAACCTTCTTGTAGGAGTCTGCTCTATTTATAAATGTGGATTATCCCAGCAAGGCTTCAGCTATTATCTTTCCTGCCCAAACACAGACATCCAACTTGTTCTCCTTAAACCTTCTTATGACAGACTTCATTTTCAGCTCAGGTATGGATAATATTTTTAAAGGTGCTTCAAGTTCTTTCACACGTATACCATAGCACTGACCGCTGGCTGAGGGTATGCCTCAGTGGCACAGAGGAATACAACAGGGAGGAAGAATATTTCCTTGATAAAAGCTTTCCACATCTCATTTTACCGAAGCTTATTCTTCAAAGTTCCCATAAGTAAAAGAATGTTGTCATGAGGGTTTGGCATTACTGTTAATGGCATTTCTTTTGTAAAAAACAGGTAATATCCTACTGCTCACACACACAGGCTCTCTGTCTCATCAGCATTAAATTCAGAATACGAGAATTCGTTTGCCATTTACAGCGTTGTTTTTAAAGCACAATGTGCCAACATTCAGAACAACTCTTCAGCTTTGTGATACTGAGCTCAGAGTAACATTTGGAACCCTTGAGACAGCGTGAGGCTGCACTGAGCTGCTCAGAAACAATAAAATGATTGACTGTGGACGTGGGAGTACTTTCATTTTGATGCTATTACAGTTAATTTGTCAGCTGCTTCTTGTTGTTCTATGGGCACTTTGCCTTTTTACATAGAACGCAAAAGCAACTGTTTCGATATGAAAAGGCTGAACTGTTTTACAGGATTTGTGGCAAATTCCAAACACTTACTTCACAATGAACAGCTTTCTACATGTAATGTTCCAGATGGAATGATCTTTCTCCTTCCCTTCTCTCTTCTCCTTTTTACAGCTGCATAAGAGACAGGACCCGTGGAACCAGCAGAACTGACAGAATTTCACGAGGCAATGACAGATTCACTGAGAGCGTTTGGCTGGGATCTTTTTTTGTTTCACAAACTGGTTTTCTTTTAAGATATTTGTACACAAGATTTCTTGAAGTGACTTAAACAGTAGAGTATTCCTGCAGCTAGTAAAGTCCCTGAGGTAATATGAACTGGTTTTGAAATCTGATTTTCAATGAAATCATCCTGGTTCAATATTCATATAATTTTTACAGAAAATAATTTTTATAAGAATATAGCTGTTACAGAAACAAGAGCATCTGAGAAATAGGATTTTGGTTCCATGCCACATAAGTTATTATAGTCCCACAGAATGCATACAGTTCAAAATATATCATATCTGACTGTAAATTCCATGACAAAAGCCATTCTCTAACTGGCAGCAAAGCTTAATTGTTTTCAAAATGTAAACCCAGTTTTTACAAACAACTTTCATGCTTTTTTTTAAAAAAAAGTTCTGAATACTGAGACATGTTTGTTCTTAAGAAATTAAAGGATTTTCCTAGAAAAGACTGATTTATATTTATATTTATATTTATATTTATATTTATATTTATATGGATTTATATGGATTTGCTTCAGAGCTATTTCAGAGCTAGATATTAAAATTCCATAGTTCTTTATGAATCTTGGTTTAAAAAGTATTCTTAAAAAAAAGACTTGTTGATAAATCTGGTTCGACACAGTCAATCTTTTTCTGTGGCTCATTGTCCTCCTGAGATCTAAAATGTCAGATTAGTTAAATCACACCTATTTCCTCTAATGTAAACCAAACACCGCTGAAGCACAGCAGGCCTAGCTCTGCAGAGTGCCAGTTCCCTTTTTTCAGCTAGGAGTGGATTCTGAGAGGCCTGTTTCTCATCTGTCCAATTTCATTATATTAGAAAATGCAAAATATTGGCATGTTTTGTGTAGTGTCCTAATAGGCTTGTATAATTTCTCCTCCCCCATCAAAGCCAACCAAAAATATACCAGTAACATATTTTCCCTTCCTGAATTAATTCAGAGACCTCAGGGATCATTGTGTTCAAACGTTTGCACAAGCAAACGTCTTCTGGGAGCCGTTCTTGTTTGAAGTGGATTTAGTTCGTCTAATAAACCATATAGTGATGCCACGGTTTTCCTGAATGGCACACAATGCCAGAAGTGACTGTATGTGATTTTAAATGAAGCTATACGTAACAATGCATTCTCAACAGCATGTTTGTTTTTAGAACAATAGCATATGGTTGTTGTCTTTGATTGCTTAAACATAATTTAATAACAAAACACTCCACGTTGCTCTGTGGAGGATCTGAGTTCAGAACACTCAGCACATTCCTCCCATTGATATCTGCAGTACCATGCTAAGCCAAAATACACACAGATCAGTAGGGTAAAACTGTCTTTGTGCAGTGTCACTAACTTGGCAGTAGTGGCCAAAGACCTTCAGTCTGACCTGAAAGGTGTATCTGCTATCTCAGCTGCTTGGTGGAAAGATTTCTAAGCGAAATAAATCTGGGTAGCAGTCGCTAATTCCCAAAACGTAATAGCTGCATCACCTCAGAATCAGCTAGAACATACCAACTGTCTTCAAAAAAGCTGGAAATTCAGCCTCTGTTTTCATGAAGTGTTCAAATGCACGTAGTCTGATACCTGGGCTTCCAGAGTCGTGCTGTGCTCAAAGCATGATGCATACAAACGGACACAACCAGGGCATCTTAGGAAATCGGAACAGAGCAGACACACAATGCCTGCTTTTCTCAGGCACGAGGAGACCATCGTTTTCCTGATAAATGTATTCTTCCCCCCCGCCCTTTTAAAGGCAAACAAACCCTTGAATGAATGAAAACACAACAACAGTGAAAAAACACCATAAAAATCCTGTAAGCCACATATGTTTTGAAATTCTTATGGAGTCAAAGCTATTTGTGCACTATTAGCAAGCCCCACAATCTAATTGCAGGTTTAAAAAACCCTCATGTAGAATTTTAATTTTTAGAAGCTCTTGCCAGTGAAATTCCACTCTTCCTGTTTTCAGAAAGATAGTCTTGATTTTATTTTCTAAAAGTAGATGAACTGCTGATTCAGCAGGCATTTCCAGCTCCATCCTTAGTATCAGGTCATCTACATTTTCAGTTTCTGCATGAAACTGAACAAAGGGCAAACAACATCAAGAAATCTGAAAACTAATAAAAACCTATGTGTAAATAAACTCACTCCCATTCTGTAGTGCTGAGCACTTTCCTGTTTGGACAGGAATTAAAAGTGTCAATTCTCTTATATAAAATAACATATTAAATCAGACAACACTTACCTCCACTTAGTATAATGACAGCTATAAATATTGCCAGGTCACTGTCATCTAATTCCAGTGCATTGAACTTCACAGCAAACTCAAACTTGGGTTCCATAAAGTCACAAAAAGGTTTTCTCAGGCTCTTCAGAAACTCCCGTGTCATGAATCCTTGTCCCTCAGATATAAGAACTCCATCTTTATTCATCAGAGAAGCCAGGAGAGTATATATGATCTCATGGACCCCATATTTCAGGAGAGTTACTTGGTCGTTCAGGTCAAGATTCACAAACCCTGGAATGTTCTTGGCAAATTCCGTGATCTCCTGCACTGCCTCCACTGAGCGAAACTGGCATCGCTGGAAAATGCGAATCGCTACCTCTTTGTTCTCCTCCTGCAGCGGGGACACGTGCTTGCACTTGATCTGATCTTCCCCCATCATTAGAGAGTTCATGTCGTAAATAACAAATGGCTACAAACAAAAGGAAAAGACAATTTACTTTCAAATGTCCTTGCTAGGAACATTTGGCTTCTGAGAAACTGAAGTAGCGTACAGAGGTGTAACGTGTCAGAAAACACTTAGAAATCTGTGAGGAATACCTCAAAAGGGTTAAGTCTTCATTAACCTATTAAACATATTAAAGCAAATATCCTCACAATGTTAAAATGATTTACAGGAAGGACAAGTAGTTCTCAAGGCCTTCTCACACGTTCCATAAATCCACGTGCTGGAAATGGGACTTTGGCTGATACTTTTTTTAATAATTGGGGGAGGGAGTTAAGCAACACTAATTCCAAATATCCATGATTTTTCCTGTTTTGTTTGTTTGGTTTTGGTTTGGTTTTGTTTTCTTTTGTTTTACAGAAGTTCTATAATAGCAGAATTCAATGTTTCGAAAGCTTATTAACAACAGATTAAAGTGTTACTCCTTTTACCTGAATTTTAATGGCTTCTGTAAAACAGAATCTAGTAGGTCTACAGTAACATGGTTGCACTTCTGATGATACAACTTCTTTTTTGTAGAAATACAGAGTATATTCACATGTTGACTACTTCATATACTGTCATGTTCTTTTCAAGTTCTATCCTTATAGAACAGACTGCAAGTAATATCAACTTATTGGTATTGGATTATCTGAGAAATTTAACCTTTTTCTGTTAATTCCTTTAAAAATAACAACGTTAGGATATATTTAAACTCAAACAACTTGTCAATGGGAAAGAAAACATAAATAACATGATACAAAAAACAGCAGCACAATTCAGAACACAAGAACGAGTCTGACTGTGAAATAAACTCAACTGGAATAAATCAATTTTGAAAGCAGATTAGAAAAAGTAGTGCCAGGAAAACTTTTGTTAGGATCTGGAAACAATTTGTTTCAGAATATGCAGAAGAAGCTCCTGGTTTTAAAGAAGTGGTTAAGTGAGGATTTCTTGAATTTAGCTGAAGAATCTTTTCCTTAGAGGACAAACAGCTGAATAGTTCGTTGCTGCACTGAACAAATATCTACCGATATTAATAGCTTTGTTAACATACTTGATCAGTGAATTAAAATACAAGGAATTATACACCAACAATTGGAGTAGAGAAATGCATTTCTGAATGTAAGGTCCTTTATGATTACAGATTCTAACACCTTATTCATATGGGTGCTCACTCTCATGGTTTTAGATTCACTATATGCTGCAAGAATTCAAAAATAACCCAAGCCTTCCCACATGTAGCCAGTGGTCCTCTCCCACCGGCTCAGCTTCTGGAAGCTCCTCAAATTCTATTTGCATTTGATTAAACCAGTTTTGAAATCTATTTAGTGCTAAATTACTATGGAATTTTTAAAACTGAAAATAGCTGCTTTCTTTGGAATCTGGTGGTGCCTTCTGAAGAGGACATTGCCCCCAGCTGCTTATCGCTACCCGCCAGCTAGAGACCACTACTCCCACCTCCCCCAGTTCTGCAGATGGAGGTCGTGCAAGTGTCGGTCACCCGTTGCCAGCCGAGTCGAACACAGAGCTCCGACCCGCTTGCACTGGGGGGAGAGGGAGGGATGACAGCTGACGGTTTTGTCTTTCACTGGTGGAGCTGCCTGCAAAGCAGAGGCCTATCTATGAACTGAAATAATAGTATCCGCACCAGAGGATTTCAGCTTTCCGTTAAATCAATATTCTGCTTCTTACAAGAGCAATGAAGCTTAGTGCTTTCACTTTCGGAGTAACCACAGGCAAACATAGCTCCAGACCATGAGATTCAGCTACATAGAGTGAGAGTTATGACACTGTTTTTCCACTTGAACTAGGATTTCAGTGTGGAACTGAAAAAATAAGCACACTGCACCGAGAAAAGCCAGGAGGATAAGGTATTTTTCAAGATGCAATGATATTTTGGCAGCAGCAAAACCATTTTACACATACCTTTACCTATGTATGTGCATGCATGTTCAAGACAGGGGAATAGCAAGACTGTAGAGCAGGCTTTTAGAATGCATGTTTTAGTACTAGCAGGCCATTCCTTGCTTTTCTTTCTAGAAAATCTTAAGTGGAAGCACAAAGTACAAGAAAAAGTAATCTATTCTGTGCACGTAGATGTGCTTTAGAAAGACTATACTGTGTCACCAGACTGCTGACATTAGAGTATGAAAATCAAGAAAGAGTTCGAAATAGCTGAAGAAATTTTTAATGTAAATATTCAGATGAACTTTGTGAGTAGAATCTGATGTCAAATGAGCACTGTACATCCCAGAAGAGGATGAGTTAGTCATTTTAGTTTTGACACGCTCATTTAGCATATCCAATCATTTTCAGTTAATGCAGATGATACAGCAATTAAAAAATAACATAAACTATGGCCATAACAAACAGTTTGATGTTCCAAAGCACAGAGCCCATTACAGCTCAAGTAACATCAAAGTTGTAACCATTAAATACCGAGTGTCTTTCTTCCAGTGTTATTTTTTTAAAAAGACTTGAAAATTTGCAGCCACGGAAAGCTGAATTCTATGTCTATTGTTTTATTGCTATATTCTAACCAGGAAAAGTTTTAAAACTGTCAGTAAAAATGTAGAACATCATTGATGGCATACTATAGAGTTACTACACGAGTATTGCATTAGGGCAGCTTTCAGACATCACCACGTTACGTAGGCCCAGACTGTGAAGTAGCCAGCGCAGCAGAGCAGCAAACCACACGCCAACTGATTTCCATGGCAACTTCGTAGAACCTTACAGAACAAAAGCAGGATTCAAGGATGCGCTTGGGACCTCCGAACCAGATTTCTAAACATGGGCCTGGAAAACCAGGAGGTGAGAGCACCAGACGTAACCCTGCCCAACCTTCCGTCACGTTGCCGAGTGCGCGCACTGGGCAGCTGCAGGAAAAGGGAGCAGGCCTCCTGGCGACATTTTTAGGACGAAAAGGAGTAAACAAGACACATAATTACACACCCCACTTCTGTTTCCCAGTGCAGGTACATAGCTATTGAGCACACACTTAAAAAACCCAAATCCTGTGTTAATTCCTTCCCAGTAACCTATGTCTCTGATATAGAGAGGGAAGTGCAGAGAGACTCAGAAAAAGCCATGACCCTCAAGTGGACTCAGTGTATCAGCTTTCTGCAGAATAAATAAACTATGCTAGCTCAAACTTTTATACTCCGTGATGAAAAGTTACTCAAACTGTAACTGTCCGCTGTATCTGAAGCTTTTATGTGAGGGGTACAACCAAATTAGGGGCAATATTTAAATTAATATTTTAACCACCTTTAAAGAAAGAAAGCTTAAAATAGCTCCAAATTCTTTCCTGTCTTTGAAATTATTAAAGAAAATAAAATACAGTCTCTGTTGTAATCCTGACAATAAAATTTCTGCTGATGATTCTAGAAAATATACCAAACTAAGAGTTACAAGTTGTGGAAATCTATGTTGTTCTTTAGGTATTAAAATAGTGACAAAATTTAAAACCTAGCACAATTATCAGATCTTATCCTCCTTCTCACTGTTACAAAGATTGTTATGTATTGCCAGTGAAGTTTCCAAAGCAACTCACAGATACACATATCTCTATTCCTTACTTTTCAAAGGTTTTCTTGTACATGCTCCTAAAATTCAAATTGCACCGCATAGGATACTGATATGATCCAAGGTAACCCAGCTAAATGCAGGAAGTCATCAGAGCATCGTAAGAATAAGCATCATTAAGGCTAGCCATGGTGTTGGTACTGGAAATCACTCGACACTTATGAAAAAGAATATTCCTTTGGGTACAGCTAGAACTGATAATATGCTATGATATGGATGCTTGAAAATATGCATATGTATATATATATATATACATACACACACACATATAAAATACAACAACCAATTCCTGACAGCTAGATAACCACCTTAAAAAGATAGTGTGGAAGATAACCTTTGGTGAAGGAGAAGGAACACGGGAAGAGTGGATCAGAGAATACAAAAAGGTTAAGATGACCTTCAAATTCTTGTACTGGTTTCAAGTATTTTATTAGGTGAACTTGGAGTTTTTTCAAATAATGTTTACTTATCCTATCTAAAAACATTTCCTGTGTTTCAGACACAGCTTGAAATATGTAACTGCCAACAGCAAAGTTTTCTTTTTTTTAGAAGATGTGTTGTCAATGTGGTAAATCAGTTACTCAAAAGAAAGAAAAAAGAGAAAACAGAGGGAACTAACTGATTTGTCTGTCGTCTTTCCTGTCAAGATCGCCCTCGCCTTGGCTTTGGTCAGAGGGAAGGACTTTATGTATGAGTCATACAAATGCTTGGCAAGTGCTCGTAGATCAGCAGATTCAGGGTTTAACTGGTCGATGTCGCTGGAAATCTCTGCCAAGAGCTTCTCCTTCTCCGCTTGTGGCATTCGCCCAAACCTGATGGCTGAAGAAGATGACAAGCAATTACTAGAGCTACAGTTGCACCTAAAAAAGCATACTTGAACAGCTTTTTATGTCACCTTTTGTGATGAGCTCTTCAAGTTTTTAGTTAAACAGCTCTTAGGCAAGTAAGAAGAATATTACTTTCTCCAGTAACATAGGCAAAACAGCTGAAGTGCTTTAAAGACATGTAAACAAACACATCCCAAAGAGGAAATAATCTAGGCACCCAAACAGTAAGACTACAATATTTTGCTTGGAAATGCAAAGCTCTTGTCAGCTCACTTGACAGAATTGGTGAAAACCACTGATTCTACCTGCAATCTAAATAAAATATAAAGAATTTTAAAGATATGAAAATTCAGTTGACTTAGGGTAAGAACCACCTTTCAGGCTTGTATTGTTCTGGGCAAATCACCATGTGGATCTCAGATCCTTCATTTGTTTCGAAACAAAACACTCACATGCCTTGCAGGAATAAATTCCTAAGTAGTTCCACAGAACTTCATGTAGAAAGTGCTATAAAATGTTACCAAAAGAATTAAGGAATGAGAAAGAAGGTTGTGCAGCAAATCAAAAAGCCAGAAAAGGCCGAGTTCTTCATGGTAATTCTGTGTGCATGCAGATTTGAGAGAGCAGGAAAGGATTCTACAGAGGCATCTGATCTCACAACCGCTCCACACCAGCCTGAGGCAGACTGTGAACATCCTGCTTTTACACCTATGCACTTCATGTCCAGGACACTGTTGATTCATATAGGGACTGACTTGAAAAATATTTCAAATGAGCCATCAAGATCGACTGATTTATCATAAGATATTGCAGTAAACAGAATTTATTTTGTTTATGGAAAACAAAACAGAACAAAAGAGCGTCAAAACAAAAAAATGGAAGGAAGAAATAAAGGTTTGTACTTTGGCCTTAGGAGGAAATTGAAATATTATAAATATTTTTTCAGTGATTAGTATCTTCCATGGATAAAGTAAAAGTGCTGTTGAAATCATATATATGAATGATTCTACTAAGGACATTTATTTTGGAAATGACCAGTCACTTTCCTTTTATGAGTTTGCTTGCAGTGTGCTGATGGACAAAAATCACACTTTTTTCCAAGAATACATAATTGTGCCAGAAAACATAAAAACCCCCATTTGTCGTAGCTTATATTTATCAATCAGTTCTCTTATTTCATGGCTGTAGAAACGAGGTTGTTTATTTTTACAAGTGGACTACATTTCTCTTTCAGCAAACCTGGTCTCCAAATGATGCATGCTGTGTATGTCATATTTGCTTGGGCATTCTTCGAGTTATCATATCAGAATAAAAATCGTCATGAAAGACAACCTAGTTGAATAGATACAATTTAACATATTCTACATTTTTTCCCCCAGAAAATGTCTGTTGCCTATAATTTTTTCATATGGGGAATTCTAAATAATTGCCAACTGATACGTGTTTTGGATCACACATACCACGGCACCTTTTTCTCTCTCATGGGGAACAGTAAGTATTCTTGATCAGCTACTAAGAATAGTTTTCAGGGCGACATCACTGCCAGCCTTCCTTACTTCTGAGAGCAAAACATTTAAAGAAAAATTATTGACTTCACATTAGTTTGTATGATGTGCAACAATGGCTCAAAGAGACTGATACCATGCTGTAAGAAGTGATGGGAGTGGATGAACATACGGTAATGTTAGTGACGTATAAAAAACTGATCTCAAACAAAAAGAGAATTCATGTTTGTACTTAGTGTAACCTAAATAAAAAGATGAAAACATTTAGCATAACTACAAAGGAATTAATTCAGCTACATATGCTTCCATGAACACTGTGAATCAAGACCATTTTGGTATTTCCATTTTGCAGTTAAAATGGATTCTCTCACTATTAAAAAATTGTATTTGCAGTTACACAAATCTTTGAGGGTTTTTTTTTAGTATACATGGATGTTGATAATATTAAACCCATGATACCAAGATCTGCATTTTAGACATTCTTGAAGATGTAAAGTGAATGAAGTATGAAGTACTTAATGAAGTAAATGGAGTGAAAACTCACTGAGAATATTTTATAGCATTGACAGATTTTTTTGATGATACTTAAGGACTGATTCAATAAAAGGAATCAAACTGTCATCAACATAATAAAGCTAAAATATATTATGACATACATATCGTAAGAAGTTGTTACAGGGACAGCAAGTATAACTAAAATGTTGGGTCAGGAAAGTGTTAAAATAATAACATAGCTAATAAAAGTGTTAAAGGTTAATTAAAAGTCCATGTTGAACAGAGCGGCTAGGCATTTGTTAAATTCGTATTTTCCTTCAAAGCTATTACGTTCTTCACTAAACCTGGTTTCAGATTAAATGTTAATTTCATATTAAATTTGTGACATTCATAGGGTTATGTTTTATAATTATTTTGTCCACTTTTCAAACGTGCCTTTTGCAACAGCTTCATCAACAGAAAAAATCTTGTGATACTTTGATGCTTCTGGTTGGGTTCTTGCCAACAAATTCAGCTCCTCCTCACCATCTCTTTTGAGGAAGAGTTTTCAAATTGAAGACCTAAATAAGGTCTAGCAAGACTGCTCGGAGTGTTACAGTGGATCTTTGAATCTGGAAAGCGAGCAAGGCAAACACTAGCCTCATACAAAGGACTGTTAATAAAAAAGGGAGATCAGAGTTGCCCACGTCTATAAAATGTTGATTGCTTCCAGAAATATATGGAGTGCAATTTATTATGACTTGAAGACTTCTTAACACATAGTAAGAAATACTTAGGAACTCTAAGGAACATGTCCTTGGAGAGATTTCACAATCGTATCAGGAACTAGGTGCTCTGGACCAGGAAAATGTTTTGTTATGATAAATCCTACTTGTAAACTATTTTGATATTTTACATGGAATACATTTATAACATTATATATAGTATCTTTACAGTATGTTCACAATAACTTATGTGTCTCTCACAGCCTGATGTGAATTCTGTAAGCTCATTCTGTAAGCATACTAACTCTAAGTGTTAGAGGCTGTCCCCATGTGCCGTCCCCATGTGCCACAAGATGAACCAGTAGGGAAGACGACCGGCCAGGCTGAACAGGGAGCTCTTTCTGGGACTCAGGAAAAAAAGGAGGGTCTACCACCTACGGAAGAAAGGGCAGGTGACTCAAGAGGAGTACAGGGGTCTTGTTATGTCGTGCAGAGAGGAAATTAGAAAGACAAAAGCACAGCTAAAACTCAGGCTAGCCACTGTTGTAAATGTTTTAAAAATACATGTGCAGAGAGGAAATTAGAAAGACAAAAGCACAGCTAAAACTCAGGCTAGCCACTGTTGTAAATGTTTTAAAAATACATGAACAGCAAAAAGAGAGCCAAGGAGAATCTCCATCCCTTACTGGATGCGAGGGGGAACATTGCCACCAAGGATGAGGAAAAGGCTGAGGTACTTAACGCCTTCTTTGCCTCAGTCTTTAACAGTAAGACCAATTATTCCCAGGGTATTCAGCCTCCTGAGCTGGAAGATTGGGATGGAGAGCAGAATAAACCTCCCATAATCCAGGAGGAAGCAGTTAGCGACCTGCTATGCCACCTGGACACTTACAGGTCCATGGGGCCAGATGGGATCCACTATGCCACCTGGACACTTACAGGTCCATGGGGCCAGGAGAGCAGAATAAACCTCCCATAATCCAGGAGGAAGCAGTTAATGACCTGCTATGCCACCTGGACACTTACAGGTCCATGGGGCCAGATGGGATCCACCCAAGGGTGCTGAGGGAACTGGCGGAGAGGCTGACCAAGCCACTCTCCATCATCTATCAGCAGTCCTGGCTAACAGGGGAGGTCCCAGATGACTGGAGGACAGCCAAGGTAACACTCATCTACAAGAAGGGCTGGAAGGAGGATCCTGGGATCTACAGGCCTGTCAGCCTGACCTCGGTGCCGGGGAAGATTATGGAACAATTCATCCTGAGTGTGCTCACCGGGCATGTGAAGGACAGCCAGGGGATCAGGCCCAGCCGACATGGGTTCATGAAAGGCAGGTCCTGCTTGACCAACCCGATCTCCTTCTACCACCAGGTGACCTGCCTAGTGGATGAGGGAAAGGCTGCGGATGTTATCTACCTGCTTTAGTAAGGCCTTCGACACTGTTCCCCACAGCATCCTCCTGGAGAAACTAGCTGCCCATGGTTTGGATGGGTGTACTCTTGCTGGATAAAGAACTGGCTGAACAGCCCAGCCCAGAGAGTTGTGGTGAATGGAGTTAAATGCAGTTGGTGGCCGATCACAAGTGGTGTTCCCCAGGGCCCAGTTTCGGATCTAGTCTTGTTCAATATCTTTGTCAATGATCTGGATGAAGGAATTGAGTGTTCCCTCAGCAGGTTTGCAGATGACACCAAATTGGGCAAAAGTGTGGATCTGCTTGAGGGTAGGAAGGCTCTGCAGAGGGATCTGGACAGGCTGGGATCGATGGGCCAAGGCCAAATGTGTGAGGTTCAACAAGGCCAAGTGCCAGGTCCTGCACTTGGGTCACAACAACCTCATGCAACGCTACAGGCTTGGGGAGGAGTGGCTGGAGAGCTGCCCGGCAGAAAAGGACCTTGGGGTGTTGGTCGGCAGCCGGCTGAACATGAGCCAGCAGTGTGCCCAGGTGGCCAAGAAGGTCCATGGCATCCTG